ATTTACCAAAGGAGTGATATATGTATGTAAAGATTAAAATAGGATATTTTTTGTACGATGAAAATGAAAATTTTGATATTTGTCAATATACATATCTCCATGATAGTATTATCAATGGATTTGCGTGGATTTATCGGTGAAAGAATCTAAACATGAACTGCTTCGTATTATAGATTGTGTTTAAGAACCTCGCCAATCCATTTGTGACATATACAGGGTGTTCCACGTGACACTTTTCACGATTATTAATTAGCCCGCTTTCAAGTGAACTGGTGGTCTCAATGTTGTCACTGGAAAGCGGGAATTACTGTACAAATCGGTTTTGCGTGCCGACTTTAAGTGCTCCCTGTGCTATGCTTAGCAGGCCAAATGCGTCAAGCCGGCCCTGTATGATTGGTTGTTGTGTATCGTTACGCATGTCGCTTCGAAAATATTCGATCGTTCAATATGCAGCTACCAGTCGGAAACGTCGGACGTCTGACAGAAGTGTGCCGCATAAAACAGAAAAATTCGTTGTCAGGAGAAAGATATAGTTGGCTAGCGTTAAGAGTACGACTAGGACAGTATGTTTGATCGAGGCGCTGTCGGGTTTAGGGATACCGACTGCAGCCGGCGGGGGGCCAGCGGGTGCAGGGGCTGGCCATCCCGTGGCGGCTCATCACCACGGCCAGCTGGACGAGCGACTGGCTCTAGCTGCTGACCCGATGGTCCGGTTGCAGATGGCTGGCATTTCGCCCGAGTATCATGCTCACACTCACGCGCATACGCATGCGCATACGCACTTGCACTTACATCCGGGACAGCAGCAGGCCCAGCAACAGGCTCAGCAACAGCAGGAAGCGGCTGCGGCTGCAGCTGGATTCCCCCTGCCTGGTAGGTCCTACAAATCAGGATGTCTAAGTACGCTCCTGCACGATGATCGCCCCTTTCACCGACCGCCTGTACTTACAGCCGATGAAAATAGCTTTTGTAGTATATCGGGAAGATAATTCAATTGCTATGTCCCCGAGATACTTGCTGGAAGAAATATAGTCGGGTGCTCGTGGTACACTTATGTAGAATTGTAAGCGATCCTGTTTTTAGGCTAAGAATCGCCAAATTTGTTTCTGGTCAAATGGCTCGCGATTTCCTTGGTGTGTCATGATCCTTGACACGCTATTATTTAAAATGTATACGAAATTCGTCTCTAGGATCTTTACTACCAACATTCAGACGCGCTATCGTCTTCACCGTTTACTGTTTTTCCGAGCTTACTATATTTTTACCATCAAGTATACGTATTTCACTGGTCATAATGATATCCGATGACGAAGGACATAACAAGTTCTATCTAAATCCTGTATTCGGTTCTTGTTGTAGTTTAAATGCAAAATGGCAGTCCAGTGATCGCAACTGCCTTTTAAGTTAACGTAACCAAAAGTTGATTGTTTCCGTCAAAGAAAGTATGGAGTACGAGATATTTTTAATCGAAGAAAGATTAGAAAGAGTATACAGCCTTTTCACTTTAACTATTTTTGTATCAATGTATGTTCCATCTGAAGTTTTAAAGCGTTGTTGCTCCTTTGATCCTCTTTGGTAGGCTGTGATCGGTAAAGCGGTCGATTGCGTGTAAGCGTACTAAAACGTGCTTTTCATTCAATCAGTTTAACATCAGTCAGAATTTAACTAAACGGAGAGCACTCTCCTAACTACCGTAAGAGCTTACTTTTAAAGAAGAAAAACAAGACAAATTTTTCTCTGCGGCAAACTTTTTTTTGCATTTTTCTGTCGCTTCTCTCGCTACGCCATTATAACTTGGCACCGAGCTTTTCGATCATCAAGCTTTTGGGTGAAGGTACGAGCGATAAATGATGATTCGATAACGTTCAAGTAACGTGCAAGTGCGCGAGTGTTACGAGAATTGTATGCGTGTACGTGCGTGGATGGAAGTGATATGGCGTCCGTTTTGCACAAGAATCCTTTTGAAAACCGCACATCACAGACACCAATCTAATTTACTAATGTAACATCAACATATCATTCATAATACTTCAGTCATTGTATCGTTTCATTTGTAATATACCACTATCATCATCATCGTCGTCGTCGTCGTTATGATCATCATCATCATCATTATCTTCGCTAGGCAAAGGAACGATTGTCACTACAAGCAAATGTCATTGAACGAGTCTCACACGCGCTGTCATGCATGTCTGTTTACCCATAAATTTCAAAGCTTAATATATTCTATAAGAACATACGATTATATTTAGGGTTCGCTAATATTTTCTGTGTGTATAGCGGCAGCTGGTGCAAATTATCCTCGACCAGGCTTAATGCCACGCGACCCAGGACTGGCACTTCATCCCGCGGAACTTCTCGGAAGACCATACGCGGACATGGCAGCGCATCACGAACAATTGCAACGTCACCTTATGATGGAACGCGATCGATTTCCGCCTCACGCGTCACTCGTAGCCCATCACGAGGAATACTTAAGGTTCGTCCTTTGAAATCATTATCAAAGCTTGCATATACTGTATGCTTGATTAGACGACCAGTGAAACGGACTAACAAAGGGTGTTTTTTAGACAACAGCGCGAGCGCGAGCTTAAAGTTCGCGCACTGGAAGAAGCCGCACGTGGATCACGCCCTTAATAAGTGTAATTGTATTTATATATTTTAATGATTATCCCTCATAATTAGGAACGGAAAGTGTCTCGTTAGATTTGCAATTAACGAGAATCACCGTCTCGCGGTATTTGACCGCCGTGATTTAAATAAAAGGTGCAAGGATGTAAGTCAAAGACCTTACGTTTAGAATCAGAAATTATTTTTACGGTCTTTTAGAGCTATACAAGTAAACGCAAGATGAAAACGTAAGGATTGTTACGTTATGTAACGTTTTAGTGTAAATACGATACGATAAGGAAAATGATTTGAAATAGTGCTAGGTTAATCTAGCACCATAGAGGACCGCTTGACATGTAAATTTGTCTGAAATCTCTAGGTACATATTACAAGTCCACGATATTACTAAAACGAGATTCGTTCCGTTTGATTTTGATTTACAGCGGTGATAATGCCAAAGTGTTCAGAGGAAAATGGTTCACCGCCTCCTTTAGTCCTTCCGTGCTCACAAGAGAATAATAGAATGTTCCCTCTTTCGTTATCATATGACATTGATGAACATGAATTGTGTCTTTGAAATAAATAAATAATTTTATAATTTGTAGAGTAATTTCCGAACATATTTAGAGGTGTCCGTGCTTTCGTGACGACCATAAACAACAGTTCGCAGACCTTCCGTGTTCTAATATATATAAGAACGTAACTTAAGTTTTAATATTATTGTAATTTCTGTGTCGGACAATTTGTATATTTTCTATATGTATCCTTTAAGATTTTACCCTGAAGACCATGAGCGTTTGATACTAGTTCGATCGAGCGGCTGATTAACTTACTAGAACTTTGTAACAAAGTGACCAAAGTTTAAAAGTTTATAGAAAAACGGTATGTGCGAACGCATAATCTTCCATGGTCGTGCGCTCCACAGATTTCACAGAAATATCCTGTATGGTGCAGGCGCTGGAAATTGATGCGTAACGTTTTTCAGTCTAAGTAATCCTTTATTCTGAGAACCATTCGAACGTGTAAATTTTCCGCTATATAATTAATTCAATGTAATCTAGTTATTTAACTAAGTAAATATTTCATAGAAACGTCCAGTTTGATGGTATTTTTGTTTCTTTTTTTTTATATCTCCATAAATAGCGTCTGAAATGATTTAATAATGACAAAATATGATTTATGTCGTGGAAAATCAACGATTAATGTACTATCATTTGTCTGCTTGCACTCACAAGGCTGTAATATATTTTACTTATATAATATAAATATCTGTAAAAGAATTATATTTGCGTCGCTGTAACCAAATTACAAGCAGACTTCTTTCTATCTATTTTACCCGAGGAATTGAGAAAACGCATCAAAATGAAATTATGTGTAATCGGAAAATCGAATCATTGTATAATTTCCTATTACCAGTTTGCCTGTCACTGGATTCCCTGGACAGAAATAAATGCCTGTCTTATAAAAGACTATCTTTTGGTGTCATCTTATCGTAGTTATATCCAAGTTCTAACGTTAAACGAATTTGTAGATGAGATAGTTATGAGTCGACTGGAAGCTGCATGGAACTGTCCTAATTAATTTTACACATGGAATTTGTTTTCCTTGCTCTTCCTGTCGGCTGTCGGCTTGTTTTTATTGGCTGTAATGTGAAACCCAGCTTCCAACCACTTTACGTAGGAGTCACCACATTTACATGTACCGATTTGTTTGTGTGCAGGAAGCACAAGTGTCACGTTAATCATACTATTCAGAAACCACTTGCCTAACGAGAATAGTACAAAAATTCCATATTTAAAGCAACATAATATTTCACGTCCCTTGTGGCATTTTAATTGAAAAAAAGATAATATCAGAAGTCTTTGGCTACACGTCCTTTGCAAAGTACTTCCATGAAAATTTCTTCTGTATTTGTAAAGAATCTTGTTGGTCAAAAGTACTCTTATTTGATCTCAAAAAATTGCATGTTATTATTTTTAGAAGAGAATTTCTCTTACAAATTTTATAAAACTACTGCAATCTACTTTAATCATATTAATTACTATGTGTTCTAAGCTTTTATTACCTTTTTTTTTCTTTTTATATATTATTATTGTTGACATTACATTGTCATCTCCTTATTTCTGTCATATACATTAGCTGGAATTTGTATCATACACGATTGTTGTGGACTGTCATTAATGTGTTGTGTTTTTAGTAGTGAAGCATCATGCAAGTGCTTCGTTCACCCCTGGTCGGATGCACGTGCAGTTCACATGTGTTATTCGAGTAACGGGGGGCGGGGTTAAGAGTGACACGTCGGTGAAGAGGGAATCCTGGAGGAAGCGACGGAAGCCGCGAAGCTTAGTCATTCATAAATGAGCCGTCGGTGTAGCCGGACGGCTCTTTCAAGTTAACGAAATTGTATAACGATTAACTGATAACAGTGCGGTGCGGCATGGCTGCACGAAAGAAAGAAGAATCGACGAAACAACGTTATCAAGCGAATGCACGCGAGAGGGACCGCACTCATAGGTGAAAATAATTTTTTTTGTTTTTATAAAACACGAAAAATTTCCTTTACTTCGTACGATGGCACGAACTATGTACAATAATACACGTTCGTACTAGTGTATTTATTTCTCCGTTTGTGATTCTAGTATTCTTTGGATATTTTGGGTGTAGATTTAATTGTTGACTTATTGTTATAATAAAATTGTAATAGAAACATTGTATAAAACATGCGTTTATATTTGCCCTAAAAATATGCGTACCAATTATCGTCTATGATAAAAAATTCATTTTGTTGCTGTTATTAAATCTGTTTAAATTAATACAGTTAATGTAACGATGAATTGTACTTTTTTGTATAGATAAAAACTTGTAATTGTCTTTCAAGAGTAATTTTTGGCTAACCAGCTTAAGAATTATATTTATGACAAAAGAGATTTGTAATAACAATGATTATTATTAAATGATGTAATTCATTTAAATTGCATGAATTTGTAATATATGCTCCATAAAATAATTAAATCAATTATGCAGATGACTTTATCACTCAGCAAGCTACAAAATACGAAGCATTTGTTACAAATATTATGTATATGTCATTATTTATATTAATCTCTCGTACAAGACGAAAATATACTTAAAAAAAATAAATTGACTGTTTGTATGCTACTCAAAATAATTAAAGAATTGGATGATTTTGATAAAAAGTTTCAACATTCTGTACAAATTGACCATTAAGTAAAGCTATTGCTGTTTTAAATTCGCAATAGCCTTTTATCTCGAATTTCGATTCTTCAATTTCAATTCGCACGAATTATTTCGACATTTTGAGCAGTATACGAATGAAACTTTGTACCCAATAGTGGAAAATTTGTAAATATCCTGTTGGAGGGTAAGGAGTGCAAACAGCTACAAGACTCAAGAATTCCAATCTTCACTGTGCAGTGTGAACACGGCTTTCAGTGCCTTGAGAACATTAATACCGACGGAACCAGTGGATAGGAAATTATCGAAAATAGAGACTTTGAGATTAGCCAGCAGTTATATCAACCACTTGGGTGCCGTTCTCGTTGCTGGCCCTATAGATCAACCATGTTCACGTGTTGAGGACAACAGTGTTTACTGGACCAATCATTGGACTGATTTACAAACAAGACCCCAAGTTTGTACTTTCTGCCTTACCATGCATAAAAAATACGTAAGTCTTAAGTTTCATCGAACGAAAATAAATACCGCTTCTACGAACAAGATAAATGTATTTACTCTCTTGCGTGTTAAAATAATAATTTGCGTTTACGTTACGAACTTCAATAAAAATCATGATCCAACTGTAAAAAATGATCAATCTAAACGGAAATCGAACAAACATGTAGTAATCGGGACTATTCTTTAATTTTCAGAGCTTAAATAGCGCTTCTGAAGTAATTTCGGATTATCAAATTCCTGAGAGATCGTTATATGATATTCCTACGAGTTCGGCGATGTACTTAAACTTGAACAACGTGTAAAGGCTATGTTATATAAAATAATTTTCCTGTACATTCCCCATATATACACATTATTGAGTTTAATAAAGTTTTCGTTAAATTTATTAACACCATCGTATTTGTTATTTCAGTTGCATTAGCCAGCAAGTGATACTATAATTACAATGTTATATAAAATGTTCTGCTGTAGGATTTATTTTGTATGCCCAGGAAGATGGAGACGAATACCACATTTTCGTGCGTTCACAATTATCTTTTGTCATTTTTCTAGAAACATTCGAACATCGAATGTCGTAAAATTCGGAGCACAACTGTGCTCAAAATAAAGCTGTAATATTTTATCGAATATACTGTTTGCAACGTCATCGTTCGTTTTTAGGCAAAACATTTTTATCGTGTCAATTGCTAATTATATTTATGATAATGATAGATGGGTGAAAAATAAATTCGGTCGCAGTATCGATGTTACAGACAACACGACGACCAGAGTAGTACGGCGGCGAATGTTTCAGTCTTTCGAAGTCAACAATGCTGTGAGGAAGCACATTTTCGTTTTTCTCTCCGTTCTTGTTCCTCGTTTCAATTTCAGTGTTTTTATTCGATTATTCATTGCGAGATAGTCCATAGGCAACATGTTAACTGCTAAGAAACAATTCTACGAATGTTTCTACATCCAGAATTAGGTAAGCTTTGTAAAAAGAAAAAAAAACCATAGTAACCGCAATCAATCACCGCCATTACGAGAAAAATGAATTTATCCGATATTTACATGTTTTAAAGAAATTAGCATTTTAGTCCGATATTGAGATATTTGTGCAATAATAATTTCTTGTTAATAAGTACATTATACCATTATATCAGTCAATATTTTTACGCGACAGTATTACCTGTATGTTGTGAAATAAAATTAATTTTCTTAAATAAAATTCTAACTGCAGGACAATAAAACTTTGATTGTCATTTATGTGTGTGAAATGATTCGTCTGCCGAAAAGTATGTTCGTATTATCGTTATATTATAGCTTAAAAGAAACTTGATAAAACGTCACGCTTTGCACATTATACAATATGGCCCAGAAAATTTTAATGAAACCTTTTTACTCTTTAAAATGTCTACGAGTATCTATCTGTGAGGTGTAAATCTAAATAACGGTTGGACGGATCGAAAATTTAAAATCAGGAAAATTAGCGCCCTGAACGGCGCGTATAACCGCCATCTTGTAAAAGTGTCTCTGTAGTGTTTGGAGGTTTAGCGAGAAGGAACAGCAGCTTCGCCGGAGGCTGGAAGTCCTTTTGAAGTGGTTGCAACGGTCCTTGGCAGTCCCTGGGCACCCAGGTGACCTCGTGCGAGGCCAGGGTACCTTCAAGCTGCTAGGACAAACCCACGGCCAAGAAACTCATTTACACGCCCGACTCTCGCGAAGATGGTGAGCTCTCTTTTACACGAAGATTTTCATCTAACCCTCCGATAAAATTGTTTTTCATTCGAGACTACATTTTCTCGTTGATGTGGTGTTTTGTGTGCGGTACATCGACGCACAAGACGATGTCCGTATTTAATGTTCACGAAGATTTAACCTGTATAGATGCCTCAAATTTCGAAGTCGAACAGACAGCTCTCGCTTGTCAATATTTTTATTAGGTTGGTGCATATAAGATGTCGTTTTTTTTTGCATTTTGAGTTTCGCGGTACGATCACACAAGTTAAACGACATTTTAATTGCCAGTGTTATACTATTTGTTAAATTAAAAAATGTTTCTTACATTGTGTGTGACATTAATTTTTGGGAAAGATTCTCAGTTTGGTATTCAATGTTTTCTATGTCAATATACAAATAATCTGGATGATAGAACAATATCTCTTTAAAAGTCCAATTTATATGGCAAATAAGAAATAATAGGTAATAAATAACAACATACCAAAACAACTATAGCTTAACTCAGACATTAAATTAGAAAATCTGGTAATACGTGAATATTTGGCATAAAATATTAACAATGTTTAAAATATCTGTATATTACATTCTATGTATATCATGTTCACTTATACATACTTTATAATTTTGTTCTTGTACCATATATAAAGATTGGTTGCATTATTTTAATATTAGCCATGCTATTTAGAGTTCGGCATCAACGGGTGGAACTGAGGGGTCTAGTCCAGCCTCTAGCCCTGCCTCGGCTACAAGTCTCACTATGGCTGCTCCTAAGTATGGTACAGTAGTACCGAATCGTATCTTCGTAGGTGGTATTTCTGCTAACACCAGCGTAGATGAACTTACCGAACTTTTTTCCACTTATGGCAATGTTAAAGCTACAAAAATAATTGCTGATCGTGCCGGTGTATCTAAAGGTTATGGATTTGTTACATTTGAAACAGAAGAAGAAGCTAAAAGACTTCAGCAAGAGGTGTGTAAGATGTATTTGCTTGTATTTAATGCCAAATGTAAAATGAATACCATTAATTATAAATTATTTTGCTTATAGTCTGAATGCATTGTGTTACGAGAAAGAAAATTAAATATAGCCCCTGCAATTAAAAAGCAACCTTTCAATAGACCTTTTGATGGTGGTTCTGGGTCCCCACCCTCTGTACCTAATAGTACTTACTATTGTACAAATGGTCAGTGTAATATTTTAACATTAAATGTATATATTTTTATTATATAATACAAATTTTTTTTCTCTACTTATTTTTTAATTAGGTATGGGTCTTATGTACCAAAATGGTATGGCATTTTACAACACTACAGCTCCTGCACCAACAACACCAATTGCTCCACCAACCGATCCAGCAACTATTTATCAAGCCACAGGAGTGTTTGGTAAATTTTACAATGAAGTCATGATCTATTTCTGATAGAATTCGAGTGATTCTAATAATCAAGTTCGACCTTGATAATTAGGTCCGCAAGCTACTGGTCATCAAACTTTTGCACCTGTAATGTACCCGTGTCCTGCTCCATCTCTCTACATGCCACAACAGTATCCGTATTCACCTATGCCGGTGAGTAAAATATAGAGTGAACACTGCCAATTTCTTTCTCCGATACCTCCCTTAATCTTGGGTCTTATGTATGTACATCCTATCATATGAATTGTTCACGGGTACAGCTTGTATTTATATTAAACGGTAAATCGGTTGCGGTTTGACAGACGAATGGTTTGATGGGAGAAGCCATACCACCGGCGTTTCTACCCAACCCTCAACAAATGCCTACTTACGTCCTTCTCGACGCTATACAGTATTGAGGTCTAAAGGTACACGGTCTATGCTAAATGACTAGCATGCAGCGCATCATCCTTGTGCATTTTCTTTGTCAGTCTTCTGCATGGCCTGTCCAATGCATGCACACTTGACCTTTTTTCATAATTCATGATTTATATTAATAGTTTTTCATATGAGTTCTGCACACAAGTTCTTACATTTGATGTACTTCATCTATTCATCAAATATATATTTCTTATGCTTATTACAATCAAAAGTTACTGCAGTATAGAATGTCGCATATTTTTTTCGTCGGCGTGTTTCCGTTACTCTTTTATACTACAATCTTTGTGTTGCACAGAGAATACGCAACAATGCATCTGTAACACACGATGCGTGTCATACTTTGTGATACTTCTTACACACATCGTATCTCCGTAAATATTATTCGTTTCTCTTGAACCATTCCATAGAAAAACACAATACGTATGTTTATATTATGGGCATGCGCAAAAAAAAAAAAGGATTAATAAAATCTGCTCAAAGTAAAGTGTGTAATTCAGCGTCCCTGGAACGCTCTTCGTTATGAAAGGTTCTTGTTTCGTAGCATGTACAATTGACCTTAGTACTTCAGAACAAGACTGATCTCTACCACTTTTAGAATCGTGAATGAACGTTTAAAGAGAGAGGAGTACACAGAGAGAAACTCGTCAAAGACTTCCTGATAATGTACGATATTTTTGTGTAAAATAGATATTTCCTTTAATTTTCCTTCACGATCGTGTGTAAATGCGAATAAATCATTGTCGAATTCTTCTTTTCTTTTGTGCAGTATGAGACGTATTATCCAGGGGCGACCGCCGCCGGAGCTCATCCATACTTGTACCCCACTAGTAATTCGCAAAGTAACACGAGCGGTGGTAACAGTAATTCCGGAAGCGGCAACAATGGCACAGGGGCAACCAGTCCACCAACAGGTCCACCGCCGCTACCATCTTTGCCTCCACCACCATCCGCGCATTTTTACGCCCCTGCTGCACCGCCACCGCATCATCATCCACCGGTACCTACAGGTCCTCCTCCACAGGTGGATCATCTCTACTATCCTTTAGCAGCTGGACCCCACCCACCGCCTCCGCATGCTCCCATGGGATTGAATGATCAGCAGTTGTTGTTTTACGCTGCCGACACCCCATGTCAGCAAACGTCGTCTGATGGCCAAGCTGCTTCACAGGAGGTAAGTTAATAATTTTTTTTTACTAAAACGCGCTTTTTAATTTACTAAAAACGATGATACGTTATCATTGCGAGTTAAGACCTTTGCACATGCAAGTCAGTAAGCTTATAAGGGATGATCGCTAACTCGGAAATTAAAAAAATTAACAAATTAACATGCAGATATTGCGTAATACGTATCTACGTATGCCCTGTATATACCCAAAGTTTCAGAATATTTTGAATTTCCGGTTTGAGGATTATTTCTTGTTAGTCTATTTTATAAAAAAGAACTCATTGTTCGATTTACGGTACTTTTCTAATTATCGTATAGCTAAAACGTGAAATGTAATTATTACGGTCATACGATGCAAGGCACAGAATCATTTTTCCGCCGATCACACAATAGAGTAAAGTACATCTGAAATATTTTTCTTAGATGCGGGTAATTTATGTGCCACAAGTTATATAAGTCATTATAAAATAATGATAATTTGGCAATAGTTATACGATATTTAAAAATTTGAGAATGAATTTTGATACGTGTACTTTGATATGTTATACAGCCCTATACCATAAGGCCGCCTTCATCACGTTTAACTTTGTCTAATGTTTTCAAAAATGTAACGATTTATTTATATAAGTTTTTGCGAAATTAAGTCTCTTTCTTTTTAGTCATTTTATTGACACAGAGTTTTTTCCTCGGTATTCGTACGAAATAGCCTATGTCTTTAAAATTGTTCGATATTGTTTTTGAACCAACTTCATCACTAATTGTTAACTCTAATTTTGCTACAATTTTAGGTGCATTCATCTTCTTTCTTTGATATTTTACTCTTAACTGCGCTGATAACGGAGTCACGACCTAATATAGTTGCGTGGACCACCCTGTATATGTAATCAAAAATAGTTTAATTCTTGAATCGATAATCTATTTTAAATATCGTGTCGATACTAACAGAATATTCTTCTCATTGCTTAGCTACTCGCGTGACCTGAAACATATAGGCTGCATGTATTGAATTCATTTTCAAACCGCAATAATAGCGTTTCAGCTGTACGATTAGCACAGTACCGTGAAAGGAAACGAATTAATGTATCCATGTATATTTGTATCTGATTTTAATTAACCCTTTTGCAGAATCTGTAAACCTATTCTCTTTCAACGAAACACAAGTAAATTATCTCGTTACTAAATATGTGCATCAGTCCAATAAACGAAACAACGAGACAAAAATTATTCAATATTTCTATTTTCTGTTGTTTACAAGTAGATCTGGTGCATTTTAGTTGACATGTGTGTAAAACAACGTGAAGGAAAGTTTACTTTTATATTAGGAGTATGCAAAAGTACGTCGTTTTGTTTTAGTAATTTTTATTCGTTAATAGTTATTTAATAGTATATTATTTCTAATTAAACTATTTTATGTATGCCACTTTTCAGGCAATATTCTTATTCCACGACCGTCAAACGTATTATCGTTTCGGACGATGAAATCGTCGACATGTTTTCGGATTCGTAGATTTCGAAGACAGAAAATAGCTGATATTCGTGGATATTACGTTTAAAAACTCTTCTCTTCCTGTTTCAAAAGCAATGAAAAATAGATAGTGGTTGAGTTGCTATTTGCACATTCGAAAGGTTCGTCCAGGATCCACTTTTCTGTCAGTGTTTGGTCTCATTTGTTACACTTGCTCGATACTAATTTGCTCTTGAACGATTCTGGTATAAGTCTTGCAGGCTTCAGCACAGTCCTCTTATCAAAAGGTACCTCTGCCTTCCCCGCTCTGTGGTCAGATTCTAAGGACAGCATATCCATTCTTTAGACAACGTAATGTCGGGTTTCTGACTCCACAATATATCCAACCATACTAAACTCTAAACAATTAATGGCAAAACGTTCGATACAGTCGATATAATATCTTACATTTCGGTATAAATCCCTGATTCGTCATCAAACAGAACAAACTTTTGCATACGCCTAATATACGTTGTACACAAGGAAAAATGTTTGTGTCAGAAAGGACCACGTTCTGCAGAAGGGTTAACACGTTGACTGCCACGCCAGTTTTCCATGTCTAAAGAGGTCCTCAACGTTTCTACAAATAGTGTACAAGATAGAAATATTCGATAATTTAAATAGCGTATTTGTTATTTTAGAGTATCCCTAATTAAAGTAGCGTTATTTAAAATTTTACAAGTATTAGGATTCTTCTATTGCAAATAATATTGCAACACATTGTAAGTTTAAAGTTTCGGTTAGCAATGACCGCCATGACAGTCAACGTGTTAAGAAGTAAATAGAAAATAGTATGCAAAGCGCGGATATAGACTGAGATTAAGGTACAATGTTTATTTGCAATTTACTGTTTCTCACTGTACCAGTATCCGCGAGTAAGTGAATCGCAAAAAAAAAGAACCATATTCATTACTTCCAACGATCATCCGTGAAAACTATCATCTGTGAAATACATCGTAGGATTCTCGTTCGACATCGAGCCACTCGGAGCAACCACATGGTGAAACACAGGCTGCTGCAGGGTCAGCTACACCCCTGGTGTCCTTAATGCCCGTGAAACTCCCCATGTCTGGTCGTTACACCAATTATCATCCAATCGCGATACACACCGGAAACTTGTACAGCTCACAGACATGCTTGAACGAAAGTGACGATTGCAGTGGCAATCAGATGCATTGTAGGGCCATCGTGTATCACCCGGCAACGGTTTACATTCCTCACGCGCATACACCGTCGTTTCACAACGCTTCCGGCGGTACTAGCTTGCTGCCCACACCGCCGTCAGTGTCTCAGCAGATGTTCGACTCTACTAATAAAAGTCAGAGTTTCAATTCCAGGGACTATTCAAAGTCCGGGCCCGCGAACGGGCAGAACAGTTACACGAAATCCCAGAATCACGGCATCGCGTTGTCCCATCAAGCTCCTTTCGTTATAGCTCAAAACTTAGGGAACTCTCAGTCTTATAAGCACAGTAACGTAGACGGAGGTTATAATAAATACTCGTCGCCGGCGATGGCATCGCGATTTTCCATGCAATATAACAGAAGAACGGCTGCTTCCGCCGTGGGCTCTCCGGCTTGCTACGTAGCGCAAAAGTCCGATAGCTACAATCCTCAGGCTCAGGGTGGCGCGCAAAGGTCTGGGAATTTCACGTCGAACGTACCCGGTCAATCGTACAATTCCCCGTACGCGAACGCGCAATCCAGAATGTTCAATGCGAGTCAGTGCTTCGATTACGCGAACGGCCGCAGGAACAATCCGAACGATCAGTATTTCGATAGCGCGATCAGGTCGAGCAATTACCGTAAGAACGCAGCTAACAGCTACAGGAGTAACAATGGACAAACGGACCACGGAAACGGTTCTAGCGCACAGACGAACGAGACTTACAATACAATCGAAACCGATAACAATGGTTCGCAGGGGGTACAGGTAGCAGACAGCGGTAATAATTCGGAGAAGCCGGTTAGCCCACCGCCAGCGCCTTATTCGCCCATGACACGACCACTTCCAACTTTGTCACCACCCACCTCCCAGGTCCAGTTTTATGCTCCGGCGCAAAACCGTTATCAGCCATCCCTAGCCCCGTCCCAACACCAGCAGCAGCAGCAGCAGCAGCAGCAACAACAGGCTAGTCAGCGTCGGTTCACCATCGCTCCGACATTGTCCGCAAGCCGCAAGCCGACAGAGAAGTACTCAAACTCCGGTTCTGCTCAGACCACCGCTATGCTACGACAGAGCAAGTACAAGGTGAACGGGATCATGCAGACCGGGAACAAAGTGTCCGACGACAGTCTGGGCGGAGCCGGCGACGCGCCACCTGGCGTCGGTAGAATGCCCATTACGCCGCCGGGTACACCGCGGGCTCATCATCCAGGACATCCTGCGGGGGATCAGAATCAGCTGAGCGACACGTGCCATCAAATGCAAGCTCTGAGCCTTTGAATGCTTTCGAATGCGCTCCTATTGTTCATTTTCTTTTTTCTTTTTCTTTGTTTTGTCCTCCGATTCTTCTTTTTGGTCATCTCTATTACACACACACATACGCCAAACACCAAACACAAACACAGAGTGAGAGAGAGAGGACAAGATACAAAGCGCGTGTGTATCTCGATTTCGAAGCCGTATGAAAAGCAACGTCGGACCTGACGGATAGAATCTGCGTATATTCGACAAACCTGCATAAGCATATATATATACATATATATACACGCATATATGATATATAACGGCGTACGATTATTCTCTTGTGATCTCAGTCCCAAATACAAAAAGGAAAAAAAAATATATAACAGAAAAAAAGAAAAACTAGACACATGGACTTGTAAATTATAAATTCTTCGGTAAATTATCAAATATACTAAATTGTTAAGCATTTATAAAAGAATATATATATATATATATATAATAATCTTATTTATATATATATATATATAAATAAGATAAAATATGATATTTAAAGATTATTATGTTAGTTATGGAAAATGATATTCACAATAAATATGTATGTGTATATGTGTATATGTATATATACATATATATATACACATATATATATATATCTATACAAACATATATATCTAAAAGGTCAGTTACATTATCTCTTACAAGAGTTAAATGTTAACGAAGCGAGAAATTATATATCTTAAATAGGTACTACAGGTACGCTACATTATTTAAAACTATAGTATGCAGTATTTGACGTTATACGCGCGATAGGCTCGACAAACCATTGAATCTCACGAGCAAGGCTAGAGTAGGATAGACGGATAAAACAGATGATAGAACAGAAGAAAATTACAAATAACGTTGTTATCGTACAAAGACGAGCGATTTGTTATGTGTTCAAAAAGAAAAAAAAAAAGAATATGCAGAAGGGGTAAATAGGGAGGCAGAATAGAGTTGAGTTTCATAAAACGGTTGCTCAAGGCACTGCCACATCTCTCGTTTTTTATTTTCTACCTGAAATATGGTACACAGTACTTATAGTTTAATTAGAGTAACCGTGATGTATTCTCACGCATTTTCGAAACGGTAGCGGACACTAATTTATTGTTCTATTTTTTTCCCCCCGACAAATTATCCGCGCAAAAGAGTAAAGAAAAAAGATCGTAAATAGCTGTTAACATAAAAAAAAAAAGAAAAAAAGAGATGCCCCATACCCAAACGAATACGATAAAAATAATGAAAAAAAATATATGTAATAATGAATTAAAAAAATGTGTCGGCTGTGAGCTTCAAAGCAAATAACAATAATTAAATTATTATAATATAAAAAGTTAAATAATATTCTACCTAACTGTTATGAACGTAAATTTCTTTTATCTATAACGAGAAATTTGTTATCTCATATCTCGCATATTATAGCTATTATTGTCTATTTAAAACGAGGGGAAAAAAGATGAAGAACTGGTAATGAACCTAATGGTTTGTGGCGCTGTAATTTAAATGTCGCGGCAATTGTGACGGAGAAATACGAAAAAAAGAGAGTGAGACACAGAGAATGAGAGCGAGAGACATATATATCCGAGGGATAAGTAGACGACACGACAAAGGCCTAGAACGCGTAGATTACCCATGAGTCGTTACGAAAAAATTAATTTATTGAGAAAAAAAATGCAAGAGTGCCTTCTATTTGTTTTCGTGATTGTATTGTTGAACATTTGTTGCGTTACGTTCCAAGAGCCTCTAATGTTGTTATAAGAAAAAAAAAAAAAAAAATGTTTGAAGAATGTTGTTCCTCTATTTATTTATTGATTTACGGGCTGCGCAGCCCGCCAGCACCCAGCGAATTTCAAAGTGTGAAAGTATGCTGTTAGAAGAAGGAATTCGGGAAAGAGAATTACTTAGTTGAAGAGAATTTTACGGGAATACTAGAGAAAATGCGATATAAAACAAGGAAGAAAAATCATCGCATATAAGACATTCGAGTCGCGTGACCCCTTTTCTTTCTCATTGTGGTCGTTACAGACGATATTGTAACAATGTAACCGAAGAAAGGAGCAGCTCGTTTCGGCACCTATTTCTATGTATGATACACGAAAGATATCTCAGCAATATACATATATAAATATATACATATAAAAAATATATATATATATAAATATTAACAAATAAACAGACAAAAAAAAAGATAACGTATACCGAAGGTATATGGAATGCGAGACAAAGCGCGTATTTGGGTGTGCGTGTGCGCGAATCTGGATAGGTGGCTGTGATTATTGCGTGCAAGTTAAAACGAGACGACAGTTTACGTGTGTAAGCATTCGTGTGTCAGTGCATCGATGCTATTTCTCACACACTACACACGCATATTTCATACACGTATACATATACGCATACATACCTACATATACATACATTACGTGAAGAGAATGCGCGGAAAGCGCGATTCTATGTTCAGTTTGGTACTGGTCGGACAAGTAGATGAACGTATATAGGAGTGTATCGCTTGATCGCGATTACTATCCATGTACTAAATTCAACGTAGAATGGTGCTGATACGATATAAAATATAATATATACTTTGCAAAGTATATTATAATATAAAAGGAGTCTAAGATAGATATTAGCGGGTATGCGTAGTTGAACATAGGAATATAATTGATGTATATTATACACGGTGTAAGAGGTGTGCTTTCTATAATTGTAGATTATTGTACGTTTTTTTCTGTTTTACGTTACGTGCGATTACGCTTTATCGAAGTCATTAAGGCAGCTTTCAAGAACATAGTCGAAAACGTTATTTTACAAACAATTACTTATATTTCGTTTCTTTCTTTAAATTTCTACAACTTATGGTACTACTAAGACACATTATGGCCTAATTCTAAGAAACTTGCAATAATAAAATATTGTTAGATCAATAGTTGAATACTTTCAAAGTGGAAAACTATTTTGTAACAGTCTTAAGAATTATTTTAACGAATTCCTTTCTCTCGCTTTTTTATTTATAATGACTTTGTCGCGATGGTCAGCTGTAATTTAATGACTGTTGAGTTTGCTTTCTAAAAGAAATCGTCAAAATGTTCTACAATTTAGAAAGCATGCCTTCTAAAACACAGAATTTGATGTATTAAAAAAACATAAATTATACACAAAATGACACGTAGGTTGTACGACAAAAAACTATCTAAGTACTCGATGATAATAAAAAAAATATATTACATATAAAAGATGCATATATTTAAAACAAAATAAAGACATCTGTGCATGAACATTAGCATAGCAAAGAAAAAGTATAGACTAAAATAAGTGTGAATCTCTCCTACAAATATATAATAATAAAATCTTAATTAAAGATATAAAATATACAATGCTCCAATACATATACATTGTATTTGTGAATGTACCTTTCTTGTTCAGTTGCATCTATTTTTTATTCTGTTTGGAGTGGAAAAACGTAGACTAGTAATGGAATTAAAATGAATATGTTTCTTCCTTGAATAGATTGAATGTTTTATTGATTCAATATCGTTCCAGTAATACATTTTACAAGTAAGCCCTATTCATTATTTAGTCTTTTCACATACTAAATAAACGATATAATCTAAGGTATTTGCACTAATACATTGTATTAATTCTACCGTATCACATGATTTACCGTAAAGCGGAAATCTAAATACGTAACAAATCCACTATACAACCGTATATGTTTTATATATTTTCGGTTAATAAAAACGGATGTACAAATGGCACAGTTTCTACTTCATATCATTGACGTGCCATTATCGTGAATATAATTTTACATAAAATTAAACAGTTTTTTTAACACTAGATATTGAATACTTTAACGCTTTAGTAGCGTATGCAATATTTTACTAGGATCACATTGATTATCATAGTTGCTAATCATCACACTTGTTTCGGGAAAGTATCTCTAAAAAGTACTTTTTTTATAATGACCATTAAAAGTTTGGGAATCTTGAACATGGCAGTGCTAAAGAAGCAATATAAACTTAGTCTTACATTTTTGGAGTCTGACCGCTTTGAGTCAAAATGTATATAAATATATATTTTCAGAAATATAAATCTCTAAAAAAGTTTTGTTTAGGAATATTATGAATATTTGGCGTAATTCACCTTTAAGTATTAAATAATGAAAGTAAATGCTCATATTCAAATATAAAATTGCTTTCGTTAGAAAATTCTTTAAAAACATACAAAGTGTCAATATTTGTAAAGAATATACTTATCCTTAAACATTAAGAATTTGTAGAATTGCAGCTACAAGTATAACAATGTAATATATGGCTTGAAATTGTCTTAATAATTATGTGTATTTATGCGATTTATAATTCTGTCGTCATATGTGATGTAAGTGCTTGTACGCGAGTAGCATTGCAACTTTTACATAATACATGATCGTCCAAAGGATAGCAGCCACGCCCCTCGGAATCGGAAGACAGAACCAAACCACAGTCTTCGCACTTGTAACATTGAATGTGAAAACTTCGATCCAGGGCCACGACCCGTACTGTTTCATCTTGACCTGGTTCTGGCATAATTGGTAGCTTACATACACAACAACGCGGTGCAAATTTTCTGTAACGCAAAAACATCGATTTAAACTTATATCATTGATATAAATTGTTTCATATAAATTCAGTAAAATGTCACTTACTTGTGAAAGCACTGTATACAATGAATCTGATTTGTAGCATCAACCGTAAACGGTATACCGTCCAAGCTTTGACCACAAACTACGCATGTGAAACAGGATGGATGATAAGGTTTGCCTGTAGCTCTTAATATTCTATCTAGTATTGGTCTGGTGCAAACGCAACACTTTTCTAATGTATTCAGATAATCTTCCTCACAGTAAGGTTTGCTTTCCAGCGAATAGAATGGTTTACCCTGTAGATTAACTTTACAAACATAACAACAGAAGCAATCAATGTGGAACACCTTGTCCATCGCAGAGCAACCGGTACCTTCCCCTTCAACTTTACGACCGCATTGTGCACAAATTCCATATATGTCGCCATCTTCGGTATTGTCTTCCATTCCTTGCACTAATAGATCAGTCAAGACATCCACCTTAAAAAGAATAATTGTATTTATGTAAGATATATTTCTTAAACATAATAAATTTGACACGCTCAAAGTAGTTTGAACGTACTTCCTTGACCGGAGACACTTTTCCTTGCGGCTGAGTTGATGTAGCAGATCCATAACCAGAATACATAGAATAATTGCAAGATAGCTGCGATGGCGGTCTAGGATTAATCGGTTCGTATATAGATTCATATGTAGAACTAGATTGTGAGCTTGGACCATAAATATCATTTGGATAATTATCCGAAGAGAAATCAGTTTGATAAGTGGCACGTCTTAATTCGCTATAACTGGATGAAACGGGACTCGGTGGAGGTGGTAGTTCTTCCGGTGGTGGCGGGAAGGAACTGCTCGGTACACATGGAACATACTCCGATGGTTCCGGGGGCGGTGGTAAGTCGTCTTTAACATAATAATTTATTGAGTGAATAGATAACAGAAAAACAGAATTTCATAATTACCATGAGCAGGAGGAATATTGCAGTATGCATTTTCTGGTTTAGAATTCCATTGAATATTACTATAAATTATATCCTTTTCAGCTTTACTTCCAGTTTTAACTGGCATAGATACTGGAGGATCTATGTTGCTATATACAACATTTCTTACTGATCTTGAATGATCATCGAGGGGAACTTGAGGAGCCGGCATATTTCCAACATTTGAGTAGTAATTTTTTTCATCATATCCATATTTTGGTTCAAATTTTTCATCTGCCTGACATATGTAGAAGTTGTCATTATTCTGATAAACTTTAGATGTATCCTTCCCATTTGTAGAGGACGACAATGAAAAATCATTCTTCTCGATATTTAGTGGTACATATGGCGAAGGAGAGTTCACGTACAAATTTGATGGCTTTTCATTTGTTCCAGAGTTATTGAGTACTGTACTGTACGATGGCACAGACGCAGCCTTTATAGTATAACTTTGTGGTATCTAAAAAAATGTTACGCAATATGTATCTATTTGAAAGAATTATCTTGAAAATATTCTAATTTTTGCTACTTTTACCATTGACATTTCCATATAATAATGGAACAGACATGTAAAAGAAGCATAAAATATTATTAGCAGCATAATAATTGTGCTTTTTATATTGATTTGCATGATTTACTGACCTGAGGCTGTGATTTTTTTGGTTTCGGTGGTACAGCTGGACCTACTTTTTTCCCAGGTTTAACAGTTTTGACACCATCCCTATGATTGATTTGCAAGCTCGCAATTTGTTGCTCTAAGTTACTGACATTAGACATTTTTCTGTAAACAATAGTATTATATATTTGGGTTTGATTTTTTTTATATTGTTCAGAACGTATACAAATTAGATCAAAATTAACATTCAAAAAGTTATATGCTCTGTGTAAAATATTTATTAACCATGTATTGCAGAACGAGCAGCGTTGTGTAATAGAATATGTGGTACTGAAAATTTTATCACAAGAAATTATCACTAGTTGAGTTTTATATCTGTCAAGTAAAAGTACATACCACCTGCTTACACTAGAATGGAGCTCTTATTAAAAGAACCTTCAAACTCACCTGGTAAATCAATCGATCGGATTGTCCTTTATAAATTTTTATTTCAAACACTTTTAAATTATAAAATCGAACAGTTTTTAATCGCGAGATATCGTCGAATATCTTTCGTACGTCAATTGTACCAGAACTGAATGGCTGACTCATAAATCCCTTATCTTACAACTATAGAAATTCCTTTATATTGACTTTTCGGGTTTGGCCATAGTTCTCTTATGCATCTACAATGCTACATTCAAGCAATAATCGAGGAACTGTTCAAATATTCACTGTGTAGACAACAATTGAGTCATTGACAAACTAATAAATTCGCACTACTGTCACTTTAGGCACGAATCTCCAACAGCTAAAGCACTGACTTTATTTGCGAATGAGTCAAACCACGCCCTGAATTCTACACGACGTTCGTTGTCGTCTATAGTAATTAAATTATAAAAATGTCTGTATCGAACGTGTATAATAACGTGTACGACGCGCGTTTACGAGTCTGTTCCTAGAGCATAAAGTTTTCGACTTTCGACTTCCCAATCAATGGTTCGATATTCACAAAAATAGACCGTTGGATGTATTACAAAGTTACGTGAATTTGATTCAAATACATTCGTTCTTCGTGGCCCAAATAGGTTGACCTTCTACTTGACAAGTAAAAGGACAATAAGTTCGTTTCTTATTCTTTTTTATTTATCAATATTAGTTCACACGATTTTCTTTAAGCGTTCAGAAAGTTGCAGGCCATGCAGATTAACGTTCCGCGCCATCTTCGAACACACGTTATCGACACTGGGATAATTTTCGTTGAACGTATTGTAATTTCAGATTCATTATACAGGGTGTTCGGCCACCTCTAGCAAAAATTTTAATGAGCGATAGTAGAGGCCAAAATAAGACAAAAATCAAGAATACTAATTTGTTGGTGGAAGCTTCGTTAAAAAGTTATTAACGTTTAAAGTGCCGCTCTTACTGAATTTTTTTCTCGAAAATGCGCAAGATTTCGGGGGTATGTCTATTCACCAAAAATGACTGTAATTGAACCCTACAACCGAAAATAATTTTTCCACAACGATTTGCAATTTTTTAATTTTCTCGAATAATTTCACACCTTCTCTATTTTTTTTCTTGAAAGTGGGCAGGATTTCGTGGGTATGTCTAATGACAAAAACTGATTGTAATTGACCCCCGCAACTGAAAATAATTTTTCCACAACGATTTGCAATTTTTTTTCTCCGTTGAAAAATTTAGACACCTAATTGGATTTTCAGTAAGGAATTTTTTTCTCGAAAGTGCGTACGATTTCGGAGGTATGTGTAATGATAAAAAATGATTGTAATTGATCCCCGCAACCGAAAATAATTTTTTTAGAACGATTTGAAAAATTTTTTTTCGCCGAAAAATTTCAGCACCTACTCGATTTTTTTTCTCGAAAGTAGATAGGATTTCGGAGGTATGTGTACTCACAAAAAATGATTGTAGTTGACCCCCACAACCGAAAATAATTTTTCCAGAACGATTTGAAATTTTTGAATTTAATTGTTAATAACTTTTTAACAAAGCTTCCATCAACAAATTAGTATTCTTGATTTTCGTCTTATTTTGGCCTCTACTATCGCTCATTAAAATTTTTGCTAGAGGTGGCCGAACACCCTGTATATTACAGCTTATTCACACGATATGGTTCTTTGAGCGATTCAATCGTTTTAACAAAAGCAGCATTCACACGAGTTCATATCTCTATTTAAAATGTCATTATCATGTGTATGTATACCTACTTCCTCTGTTTATTTATTCATTCTGTTATTTACATTTCGAGAGAATGGATGTGTTACCGTCGTCGTTATTCAATTTCTCAAAAATCTTCTTTCTTTATATAAATTGAATGATTTATCCCATTAAATGAGCCTTTGTTCTACAAAAAAATTCTATCGAATTTAAAATAACTGGAAAGCCAATACATAGCTAATACAACAACGTCTCAATGCCGCAATTGAAGCTGAAGGAGGTTCAATTAAATATTAATATTAAATAAGGTGCGTATAATTAATATTATTGGAATACTTTTGTAACCATCATGTGATGCATCTTTGTAATAAATGTATCATAATTTCTGCAAGTATTATCGGATTCGCTTCATACATATAACCTTGATACTCGTATCTTATAGTAGTTACAACATTACTTTCAGAACTTAAATCTAATATATATATATATATATATATATTTATTGTTTAAAATTTGAATAGCATGCGTTCAAATACTTTCATGAGCCACTGTAAATATGATATTTGAGTACCGGTATGATTTTGTTATTACCGAATTTAATTGTATTTCGTGCTATATGTAGATATACATATAATATTGTTCTTAAGCTATAGTTAGCTTTGTGAGTTATAGAAGATTAAGATTCTTCGTTGTAAATTAGTCCTAATCGTGATTGTAGTTGATTATATAAAAAAACAAACAGATCCCGCTTTTCTTAGAATTGCCTGTATTTTTATTTCTTCGTCAGTAATGTGAGAAATTTCCATCCAATTATGGTTAGAATATACTTCACCAATTGCTCGAAACCATTGATGTGTTATCTCCATCATATCGTTTAACTGAACTGTAAATCTTTTTTTATATCTTATTTATTCTAATAAAAATTCAATGTGGATCATTATTCGAATAAAGATTTTTCTTTAGAAAATTTCCCCGTTATCCGAATAATCTAGATATCATTCGTAAGTAACGAATAGTATTTCGCTCAAATAAATGTATATTCGAATAATGCCTAATTCTGATACGAATGCAGTCGAAGGCAGATTGTATTAAAGTAAGGCACAGTCAACATTATAATTGATAACGAATAAACTCTGTGAACGATAATTTATTTGTGTCGGAGGAAGATACTCGGTTGACACATCATACAAATATTACATCACACAATAACACAGGAGACACGTACACATGGTGCGTAAATATCGCATAAATAATATAAAGCCACGCACTACACATAATGTACAAAATGAAGTCTAGCATATTGCATAAGATGATTCTTTCTATCTTGCACATTTTAATATCTTCGTTATATTTGCTAATACGAAAAAATATATCAGGACTCTATTTGGTTTGAAGTAAAAAATTAACGATAACCTTCAAAACTTGGAAAAATGGGAAGAACCATGATGCATTTCTTCGTATCAGTAAAAATAACATAATATAATAAATTTGGGAAAAAATTGTAATGGGAGATTCTAGAGGTCAAAACAGGACAAAAATTAAGAATACCAATTTGTTGATCGCTTTGTTGAGGCTTCGTTAAAAAGTTATTAACGTTTAAAGTTCCGCCCGTACTGAATTTTTTTTTCTAAAACACGCAGGATTTTGGGGGGTATGTCTATTGACCAAAAATGATTATTATGGACCCCTGCAACCGAAAATAATTTTTTTAGAACGATTTGAAATTTTTTAATTTTGTCGAAAAATTTCATACCTCGAATTTTTTTCTAGAAAGAGGGCAGGATTTCGGGGGTACGTCTATTGACCAAAAATGATTGTAATTGACCCCCGCAACCGAAAATAATTTTTCCAGAACGATTTAAAGTTTTTTTTTCGTCGAAAAATTTAGGCCCCTACCCGAATTTTTTTCTTAAGAGTGGGTAGAATTTCAGGGATATGTGTATTCATAAAAAATGATGGTAATCTATCCTCGTAACCAAAAATAATTTTTTCAGAATGATTTGAAATTTTTAAATTTAATTTTTTAACTAAAATTTTGATTTCCGTTTTATTTTGGTCTCCAGAATCCCCCATTAAAATTTTTCCCAGGGGTGGCCGAACACTCTGTATATGTACAGCCTTATTATCATTTATATGTATGTTTTAACGACCAAGTTCTAACAAATATGAGGTAAATTTTCATTTAAATAAATTCTACTATAATTGAAAATAATAATTGGTTCGTCGTGTACAAATAAAGCTATAATTTTGATTTATTATTCGAGATAAAATTTTCCCAAGTCCGGTTAGAACGCAGCTTTTCTGTTTTTCCAATAGTGCGGAAAAGCCTAAAGTATGAGTTATACCTGACGTCATTCGCTGTCGGGGAAGTCAGTGGTCAGCTGATATTCTTCCTGCTGCATTTTTAATGTCTCATCGTTATCTGAAAGAACGTGACTGATGTATCATGTTACTTTAACGAAACTGAGTTATTACCCATAAATCGGCATGAAACGGCCATTTTAGTTGACTTGGACGCAAAACATGCCTTGTTACAGAATTTCCGAAAAATGAATTTGCCTAGAACCGTTTGGTATGCTTTTTAAATATATTAAATTTCAAAGTTTACCTCTTGGAACTACGGGTATTTTAAATTTATATCATAATTCAGAAAAATTCAGGAATTTAGTCGTAAAACCTCATAGAAATGGTGTTTGGAGTTCGCTGATAATAAATCTAATATTAGAATTCTAAAATTCAAAATGGCAGATTCGATGTTATTGATCTGAATATCAAAATCATATTAAAGTCATAGGAAAAATTTAAAAACATTTATAAAAATAGTAAACATAAACGTTTTTGAGATACTTGACCACAAATGTAACATTATCAATTTAAAATTTTAAATGATGGATTCAACGCGAACAATTTAATTATCGATATCATGGGAAATATATTTTTGAAACATTAAAGAACATTTATCAACAGAACTTTTCCTCGGTGATTGATTTCGAAGAAAGGACTTACCTCGATTCCATAATTGTATCGCTCGTGCGAGTTGTCAAGCTTACGGCCATACCAGTGACGTCACGCACGTTTCATGGTCGGGAATAAGTTCCAACAATTAAATCTGACGGTGTACAAAATAATTGTCAAAAAAATAGCTGAGCAATTTGTTTTTATTACCGCAATTATCCTTTCGGTCATAAAGACTTTTAAAGAAAAATGTTTATACGAGTGCCTATATTTTTCCCGTTTTCTTTTTTCACGAAATAACAATAAAACGGTCATTACAACATTCCTTGCACAGGATAAAAAGAAATTTTTCGCCTTAAGTTCTGACATTGCCGATCTAATTTACCCTTCGTTTTAGTGTCAAGGATATACATATGTATACAGGGTATTCGGCCACCCCTGGGAAAAATTTTAATGAGGGGTTCTAGAGGCCAAAATAAAACGAAAATTAAGAATACCAATTTGTTGATAGAGACTTTGTTAAAAAGTTATTAACGTTTAAAGTTCCGCCCGTACTGAATTTTTTTTTCGAAAATGCGCAGAATTTCGAGGGTATATGTATTCACCAAAAATGATTGTAATCGACCCCTGCAACCGAAAATAATTTTTCCAGAACAATTCGAAATTTTTTTTTTCCGTCGAAAAATTTCACACCTTATCGAATTTTTTTTTAAAAAGTGGGTAGGATTTCGGGGGTATGTCTATTCACCAAAAATGATTATAATTAACCACCGCAACCGAAAATAATTTTTCCAGAACGATTTGAAATTTTTGAATTTAATTGTTAATAACTTTTTAATGAAGCCTCCATCAACAAATTGGTATTCTTGATTTTCGCCTTATTTTGGTCTCTAGAATCTTCCATTACAATTTTTCCCAGGGGTGGCCGAACGCCCTTGTATACATACATACAGTACAATTTTGACTTTTGCGAATAACTGATTATGATAACACAAAATGAAACATCTTAATATAGCATTACCAGACCTATGCTAACACTATTTATACTTTGAAATCTGCATGTGCTTTGCAAATATTAAACATAAACATATAACTAAAATTACACGTTTCTTTTACACTATAAGTAATAAA